CTTCCCAGAGCTCTTCCCTTCCCAAAGCTCTTCCCAAAGCTCTTCCCTTCCCAAAGCTCTTCCCTTCCCAAAGCTCTTCCCTTCCCAAAGCTCTTCCCTTCCCAAAGCTCTTCCCTTCCCAAAGCTCTTCCCAAAGCTCTTCCCTTCCCGGGAGCCAGAGCAGCACCGTGAGTCCTGTGAGGATTTCCCAAGGTGTGAGCCAGCAGAAGAGACATTTCCAGGGATTTCTTGGTGGAAATGACAGGATTTAAATTAAATTGTCTCTCTGGCTTGGCTTTCCTGGTAGATTTGCAAAACAGGAATGGATTTAAGGCACCAAAAGCACCATTTAAATATCTGTAATTTATTGAGCTGCTGTGGAGCAGCAGAGCCCAGTCTGGGGCTGAGCTTTGGGGCAGAGCCAGGGAAGGTCCCAGTGCCCGTTCCAGGTGTGTGTGTTCCTGTTCCAGCCCCAGGGAAGGTCCCAGTGCCTGTTCCAGGTGTGTGTGTTCCTGTTCCAGCCCCAGGGAAGGTCCCAGTGCCTGTTCCAGGTGTGTGTGTTCCTGTTCCAGCCCAGGCTGAGCAGCAGAGCCAGGAGAGTCCCAGGGCCCTGGGCAGGCTCTGTGACCCCGATTCTCTCCTCCCTCTCCCCCCAGGGCACCGTGGGTTCCCTGCTCTCCCTTGGATCCCTCTGCTGGATCCCTGGCTTTGTGTTCAGTGGCTGCTGAGATATGGAAATTATCCCTCAAAACCAGGCTTTAATGCAGAATTCAGCTCCAGCAGTGGGGAGGAGGTGGGGGCTTCTCCTGGGAACCATCTCAGGCTCCGGAGCCAGGCTGGGAGAGCTGGGGGTGCTCACCTGGAGAAGGATCCAGGGAGAGCTCAGAGCCCCTTGCAGGGCCCAAAGGGGCTCCAGGAGAGCTGGAGAGGGACTGGGGACAAGGGCTGGAGGGCCAGGAGCCAGGGAATGGCTGCCAGTGGCAGAGGGCAGGGCTGGATGGGATTTGGGGCAGGAATTGTTCCCTGGCAGGGTGGGCAGGCCCTGGCACAGGGTGCCCAGAGCAGCTGGGGCTGCCCCTGGATCCCTGGCAGTGCCCAAGGCCAGGCTGGGCACTGGGACAGTGGGAGGTGTCCCTGGGTGGGACAGGGGAAGGGGCTGGTTCTGAAGATCCTCCTGGCCCATTCCATCATTCCCGGTATTTTGGGGGCAGCTCTGGAGGGGTCTGGTACCCCCGGGCACGGAGAAGCAGAAATGGGGAAGGGGCTCCGGGCTGGGACAGCCTCACTCCCGTTGATTGAGTGGGCTCTGCCTTCCCTCCCGAGCCCAGGAATGCTGCTAATTGCTCATTTCTGATGGGCTTTTAATGAGCCCTCGCAGGGAGCTGGGAAAAGCCTGGAATCTGCCGTGCCACAGCTACAAACACACCTCAAATGAGCTTTTCAGGCGTGGTGGGGAATGTTCAAACCCCTCATTCCACAGGCTGCTCCTTGCCCGGGGGGCTCCACGTGGATAATTCCCTTTTTTAATCTGGTTTTTTCCAAGCTGTGTCCCCGACGTGTCCCTGCACATCAGCAGAGTGTGTGTGTGAGAAGGGGGATTCTCTTTGCCTCCAATTAAATGTCCTGTTGTGCAGGATTGAGTGCAGGGCATGGAGGGAGGGAGGGATGGAATTCCAGGCAGGAATGGCACATGGAATGGTGCCCCAGTGCCCCCTGCCCAGCTGTGATCCCACCTGCTCAGGGTTTCCCTCTGCCCTGGCTGTGTCCCTTTGGGGAAGGGAAGGCTTGTGCAGTGTCTGGGCTAAGAAAAGAACATTTTGCTGCATTTTCCTGGGGTTTTGTTCCGTTCCCTGGGATCCTGCTGCAGAGAGCTGTCACCAGGATAACACAGAAACACAGTCATTTATTACTGATCTGCTTCTGGTTCAGGATTAGTTCTCACAAATATTTCCTGCAGTCAATCTCTGTTCGTAGGAATACTCCAAAGTGCAGCAGTTTTATTTTTATGAGTCCTCAAACCAAACCAAAGCATCCATCCAACGGAGTCCCCTTCCCTGGAGGTGGCACTCGGTGTCCTGGGCTGGGACAAGGTGGGGATGGGGCACAGGTGGGATCCGTGGGCTGGGGGCTTTTCCAGCCTTCCTGCTTGTGGATTCTGGGATTGTGAGAGCAGGGAATGCTGTGGGAGTCTCCAGTGCCCAGCTGTGCCCAGGAGTCTCTTCCCTAAAGATGCTGCTGGGAGTTCTGGGAGGCTGCACTCACCGAATATTTATATTTATTATTATTATGAATATTTATATTTATTTATACACAGAATCCCAGAATCCCTGAGGCTGGAAAAGCTCTCCAGGATCACTGAGCCCACCTTGTCCCCAGCCCAGGGCACTGAGTGCCTCCTGCAGCCCTTCCCCAGACCCCAAACCCCCCTGGGAGCTGCGCCAGGGCTGTCCCCACTGTCCCCTCCCTGGGTTTGTCCCTGGGACCCCCTGGCCCTGGGGCTCTGTTCTGTGGCCCTGGTGCTGCTTTTGCTTGTGTTGTGTAGTTTGTGTTGTTTTTGTCACTCAGTTTGTGTAGTTTGTGTTGTATAGGTTGTGGTTTGTATTGTTTGTGTTGTGTAGTTTGTATTGTTTTGTTTGTGTAGTTTGTATTGTGTTGTTTGTATAGTTTGTGTAGTTTTTGTTGCTCAGTTGTTTGTGTAGTTTATGTTCTGTAGTTTGTGTTGTTTATGTGGCTCAGTTTGTATGGTTTGTGTAGTTTGTGTAATTTATGTTGTGTAGTTTATGTGGCTCAGTTTGTGTACTTTGTATAGTTTGTGTAGTTTTTGTTGCTCAGTTGTTTGTGTAGTTTATGTTCTGTAGTTTGTGTAGTTTATGTGGCTCAGTTTGTATGGTTTGTGTAGTTTGTGTAGTTTTTGTCAGTTTGTGTACTTTGTATAGTTTGTGTAGTTTTTGTCACTCAGTTTGTGTAGTTTGTGTTGTATAGGTTGTGGTTTGTATTGTTTGTGTTGTGTAGTTTGTATTGTGTTGTTTGTGTAGTTTGTATTGTGTTGTTTGTATTGTTTGTGTAGTTTTTGTTGCTCAGTTGTTCGTGTAGTTTATGTGGCTCAGTTTGTGTACTTTGTATAGTTTGTGTAGTTTTTGTCACTCAGTTTTTTGTGTAGTTTGTATTGCATAGTTTGTATGGTGTAGTTGATGTGGCTCAGTTTGTACAGTTTGTGTAGATTGTGCAGTCTATGTGGCTCAGTTTGTGTAGTTTATGTTGCTCAGTTTGTATGGTTTGTGTAGTGTGTGTAATTTATGTAATTTATCTGGCTCAGTTTGTACAGTTGATGCAGTTTCTGTGGCTCAGTTTGTACAGTTTGTGCAGTTTGTGCAGTTTGTACAGTTGATGTTGCTCAGTTTGTGCAGTTTCTGTGGCTCAGTTTGTGCAGTTTCTGTGGCTCAGTTTGTACAGTTTGTACAGTTTGTGCAGTTTCTGTGGCTCAGTTTGTACAGTTTGTGCAGCTGATGCAGTTTCTGTGGCTCAGTTTGTGCAGTTTGTACAGTTTCTGTGACTCAGTTTGTACAGTTTCTGTGGCTCAGTTTGTACAGTTTGTACAGTTTCTGTGGCTCAGTTTGTACAGTTTGTACAGTTTGTGCAGTTTCTGTGGCTCAGTTTGTACAGTTTGTACAGTTTGTGCAGTTTCTGTGGCTCAGTTTGTACAGTTTGTACAGTTTGTACAGTTTCTGTGGCTCAGTTTGTACAGTTTGTGCAGCTGATGCAGTTTCTGTGGCTCAGTTTGTACAGTTTGTGCAGTTTCTGTGGCTCAGTTTGTACAGTTTGTGCAGTTTGTGCAGTTTCTGTGGCTCAGTTTGTACAGCTGATGCAGTTTCTGTGGCTCAGTTTGTACAGTTTGTGCAGTTTCTGTGGCTCAGTTTGTACAGTTTCTGTGGCTCAGTTTGTGCAGTTTGTACAGTCACTGTGGCTCAGGTGTCTGTGTTTGCTCTCCCTGCCCCAGGTGCCAGCACAGCAGCCCCGAGCCCTCCCGAGAGGAGCACGCCCTGATTGCCACCCTCGTCAGCCGCCTGCGCAGCGGGGCACGGTCAGTGCCCATCTCCCCAGGGCTGTCCTCACACAGCCCTGCTCAATCCCTCACCTTCCTTCCTTCCTTCTCTCTCCGTGCTGGAATCTCATCTTCCACCTCTAGGGAACGATTTCCCCCGGAATTTCTTTCCCAGCCCTGTCCTGTAACCGGTCCCTGCTCTTCTCTTTCCTTCCCCAGCCCAAGGGCAGCCCCAGGCTGGCCCTGCCCTGCTCTGTGCAGCCCCTGTGGCTCTGCCCTTCCCCAGAGCACCATCCACACTGTGAACAATCCCTTCCTCCTGCCTGGGCTCATTTCTGCACACTGTGAACAATCCCTTCCTTCTGCCTGGGCTCCTTCTGCACACTGTGAACAATCCCTTCCTCCTGCCTGGCCTTGTTCCTTCTGCACACTGTGAACAATCCCTTCCTCCTGCCTGGGCTCATTCCTTCTGCACACTGTGAACAATCCCTTCCTTCTGCCTGGGCTCATTCTCTGCACACTGTGAACAATCCCTTCCTTCTGCCTGGGCTCTCTCCTTCTGCACACTGTGAACAATCCCTTCCTCCTGCCTGGGCTCCTTCTGCACACTGTGAACAATCCCTTCCTTCTGCCTGGCCTTGTTCCTTCTGCACACTGTGAACAATCCCTTCCTTCTGCCTGGGCTCATTTCTGCACACTGTGAACAATCCCTTCCTCCTGCCTGGCCTTGTTCCTTCTGCACGTTTATGGTTTGGGGCTGTGTCTGTGCAGGGGAGGTTCCCCTGGAGCAGCTCTCCCGTCCCATGGACACAGCCGTGCTCCGGCTGTTGCCCCCTGGCCGTGCCTCCACCCTCCAGACAGGATTTTGGGAGCCCTGTCCCAGCAGAGATCCGGGCTGGCTGCTCCGAGGAGGAAGGGCAGGTCCTGGGGCGCTGAATCGCTCTCCCCTGCAGCCCCTCTGAGCCCAAAACGTCTTCAGCAAGACCCTGAACCCCCAGGAACGGCACACTCGCCTTCATTACTGCAATCTCTGCACATACACAGCCGATACTCTGCACATACACAGCGGATACACAGAGGATACACAGTGGATACACAGAGGATACACAGTGGATACACAGAGGATACACAGCGGATACACAGAGGATACACAGCGGATACACAGAGGATACTCTGCAGATACACAGAGGATACACAGCGGATACACAGAGGATACACAGAGGATACACAGCGGATACACAGAGGATACACAGCGGATACACAGCGGATACACAGAGGATACACAGCGGATACACCACAGATACACAGCGGATACACAGAGGATACTCTGCAGATACACAGCAGATACACAGAGGATACTCTGCAGATACACAGCGGATACACCACAGATACACAGCGGATACACAGAGGATACTCTGCAGATACACAGCAGATACACAGCGGATACACAGAGGATACTCTGCAGATACACAGCAGATACTCCGCGGATACACCACAGATACACAGCGGATACACAGCGGATACACAGCGGATACACAGCGGATACACAGTGGATACACAGAGGATACACAGCACATACACAGCGGATACAGAGGATACACAGAGGATACACAGCGGATACACAGAGGATACACAGAGGATACACAGGGGATACACAGCGGATACACAGCGGATACACAGCAGATACACAGCAGATACACAGCGGATACACAGAGGATACACAGTGGATACACAGCGGATACACCGTGGATACACAGCGGATACACCACAGATACACAGCGGATACACAGTGGATACACAGAGGATACTCTGCAGATACACAGCAGATACACAGCAGATACTCTGCAGATACACAGCAGATACACCGCGGATACACCACAGATACACAGCGGATACACAGCACATACACAGTGGATACACCACAGATACACAGCGGATACACAGCACATACACAGTGGATACACAGCGGATACACAGCGGATACACAGTGGATACACAGAGGATACACAGCACATACACAGCGGATACAGAGGATACACAGCGGATACACAGCACATACACAGCACATACACAGCAGTTACACAGCAGATACTCAGCAGATACTCAGCAGTTACACAGCAGATACTCAGCAGATACTCAGCAGTTACACAGCAGATACTCAGCAGATACTCAGCAGATACTCAGCAGATACTCAGCAGATACTCAGCAGATACTCAGCAGTTTCTCCTGGGAGCGTGGGGCAGGGTGAGCTGCTCTGGCTGCCCCAGGATCCCGCAGTGCCTGCCTTGGGAAAGGCCCCGGGGCCGTGGTGTCCATCCTGTGACTGATCCTCCGGGTGACTGTCACCTGGAGCTCCGGGTGACCCCTCCGGGTGTTCCTGGGACACGGCAGAGCTCAGAGCTGACACCAGAGAAGCTTCCAGAAGCTTCAGGCCTTTCCTTTAAAGAAGTCTCTTGGTGCTGTTGCTGGAGCAAGAGCGGTTCCTGGCACTTCCAGAGGGAGGGAATCCTTCAGTCCTCCTGTCACCAGGCACGGCAGTGTCCCCCAAGGGGAGAGGCTGGGGACATCTGTGGGGACATCTGTGGGGACATCCTCTGTCACTTCTTGGGGTCTTCACAATCTTCAAAATCTCACACAGAGCGTCTGTGTGGGCTGGGGGATCCCTGATGGTGCTGATGGCCTCTGTCCCTGGAACAGTCTGTCCTGTCCTGTCCTGTCCTGTCCTGTCCTGTCCTGTCCCTTCCTGTCCTGTCCTGTCCTGTCCTGTCCTGTCCTGTCCTGTCTTCTCAGAGAATCCCACAGGGGTTTGGGTGGGAAGGGACCCCAGAGCCCCTCCAGTGGCACCCCTGCCATGGCAGGGACACCTCCCACTGTCCCAGGGCCCAGCCTGGCCTTGGGCACTGCCAGGGATCCAGGGGCAGCCCCAGCTGCTCTGGGCACCCTGTGCCAGGGCCTGCCCACCCTGCCAGGGAACAATTCCTGCCCCAAATCCCATCCAGCCCTGCCCTCTGGCCCTGGGAGCTGTTCCAGGATCCGGCGGTGTCTCCTCTCTGCTGCCCCAGCCGGGGTCTCTGCCGGGCTTTCAGGGCAGGATGTGCTTCCAGCAGAGCCCCCAGCCAGGGCCAGATGGGGCTGGGTGTCCCCTGTCCCCTCAGTGTCACTGTCACCCAGCCAGCAGGCCCAGCTGTGGCTCCAGTGTCCCCTCAGTGTCACTGTCACCCAGCCAGCAGGCCCAGCTGTGGCTCCAGTGTCCCCTCAGTGTCACTGTCACCCAGCCAGCAGGCCCAGCTGTGGCTCCAGTGTCCCCTCAGTGTCACTGTCACTGAGCCAGCAGGCCCAGCTGTGGAGCCCTGCCCTGCTCAGAGCTCCCCCCAGGGCTGTCCTGGAGCCCCTGGGGCGCTGGGAGGTGTCCAAGGGCTCTGATGTCCCTTCCCACCCGAAGCATTCCACAATTCCCGGTTCCCTGAGCTCCCAGGGTGGCTGGGAGGGCCCAGGCACCGAGTGTGGAAGGAGCAGAACATTGTCACATCACCTGGAACGGTGTTTTGAATTCTGTGTCAGCCCTCTCCAAACCTCTGCTGCTGTGGAACCCTCTGGATTCCCTCCAGAGAATCTCCTGACCCTCCTCCCATCCGAGCTCTGGCTTTGTTCTTCCCCTTTCCTCCCTCTCCTTTCCTCACACCTGGGGGTGCTCACCTGGAGAAGGATCCAGGGAGAGCTCAGAGCCCCTTGCAGGGCCCAAAGGGGCTCCAGGAGAGCTGGAGAGGGACTGGGGACAAGGGCTGGAGGGCCAGGAGCCAGGGAATGGCTGCCAGTGGCAGAGGGCAGGGCTGGATGGGATTTGGGGCAGGAATTGTTCCCTGGCAGGGTGGGCAGGCCCTGGCACAGGGTGCCCAGAGCAGCTGGGGCTGCCCCTGGATCCCTGGCAGTGCCCAAGGCCAGGCTGGGCACTGGGGCTGGGAGCAGCCTGGCCAGGAGATGAACTTGAGCTCGTTCCTTGTCAGCTGCCAGCTATTCCTAAAAGCAAACCCCAAAGGATTGTTGTTCCCTAAGCTGCAGGTTGTTTCCAGGAAAGGCAGCGATTGCCAACAGGTATTCTGTAATCCCCTGTGCTGAGGAGAGCTGGCAGGAGTGGGAGATGTTGTGGAGAGCATGGGAAGGGTGGGAGGCTGGAGGAGAGCAGAGGCAGCTGCTGCAGACCCCACAGCAGAGCAGCAGAGCAGCACCAGTGGGGCTGGGGGAGGTTGGTGCCCTTCAACCACAAAACTGCAGCATAAATCAGTGTGAGGGGTCTGCAGCTCCCCAAACCTGCTCTGGTTCCTGCTCTCCCCTGAGTCCTCTCTCCTTTCTGTAACTTCCCTCTCTCATCCTCCTTTGGGCTGAATTCCCTGTGGATATCACTTTTGTCTCTTTCTGCCTCTTTTGGGCTCAATTCCCTGTGGATATCACTTTTCCCCCTCTCTCAGCCTCCTTTGGGCTCAGTTCTCTGTGGATATAACTTATCTCCCTCTCTCATCCTCTTTTGGGCTCAATTCCCTGTGGATATCACTTTTGTCTCTTTCTGCCTCTTCTGGGCTCAATTCCCTGTGGATATCACTTTTCTCTCACTCTCATCCTCCTTTGGGCTGAATTCCCTGTGGATATCACTTTTGTCTCTCTCTCAGCCTCTTTTGGGCTCAATTCTCTGTGGATATCACTTTTCTCTCTCTTTCTGCCTCTTTTGGGCTGAATTCCCTGTGGATATCACTTTTCCCCCTTTCTCATCCTCTTTTGGGCTCAATTCCCTGTGGATATCACTTTTGTCTCTCTCTTTCTGCCTCCTTTGGGCTGAATTCCCTGTGGATATCACTTTTGTCTCTCTCTCAGCCTCCTTTGGGCTCAATTCTCTGTGGATATCACTTTTGTCTCTCTCTCTCATCCTCCTTTGGGCTGAACTCTCTGTGGATATCACTTTTCCCCCTCTCTCAGCCTCCTTTGGGCTGAATTCCCCTGGGATCCTCCCTCTTGGGGAGTCCCACTTATCTCACTCATTATTGGATGAAAACTCCCAGGTTCATTAAAATCTCTTTTCTGGTGTTTATTGAAGGATCCTTACAAAACTTGGCACGAGCCTAAATCACCACAGCCTGGCTCATCCCGTCCTGATGATACAAAACAACCCCAAACCACGTGGTTTAATATAATAATTCTAATATAATATATCATTTTTATATAACAAAATATCTTATATAATAAAATAATAGAAATTATTATTATAATATAATAATAATAATTTATTATATTGTTATAATATTCTAATTATTATAATATAATAATTATATTTTATTATATTATTATAATATTACAATTAGTATAATATAATAATTATATTTTATTATATTGTTATAATATTACAATTATTATAATATAATAATTATATTTTATTATATTATTATAATATTACAATTATTATAATATAATAATTATATTTTATTATATTGTTACAATATTACAATTAGTATAATATAATAACTATATTTTATTATATTATTAAAATATTACAATTATTATAATATAATAATTATATTTTATTATATTATTATAATATTACAACTATTATAATATAATAATTATATTCTATTATATTGTTATAATATTACAAATATTATAATATAATATTATATTCTATTATATTGTTATAATATTACAAATATTATAATATAATAACGATAATTTATTATATTATTATAATATTACAATTATTATAATATAATAATTATATTTTATTATATTGTTATAATATTACAATTATTATAATATAATAATTATACTTTATTATATTATTATAATATAATAAAATAATTTATATAATAAAATAATATACATATATAAAATATTTATATAATAACATATTATTATATCTTATATAATAATATAATTTTATTATATTTTTACATAATAAAAATTATACCAATTTTTACCCCATTAACTACAGGCACGTGTATTGTTATTAGATCTCTACAAATAAGTTTTCTATATTTACTCACATAATTAAAAGTGCAACTCTAAACCAATCATTCTTTGTGCTTCTAAAAACTGCAGAAGCATGGAGAAGAAGGGAGAAGAAGGATTAAAAACTACACCTTCTTTCCTCCATCTTTACTCCACGTGTTCCTCCATCTTTACTCCACGTGTGAAACCCTCTTAAAATCTGTATTTTCACCTCAGTGCCAAAAGAAACAATTTTCTATTTTCCATTTAATTTCTTACAAACTCTGCCTTGCTCAGGGATGTTTGGAAGCTTTTCTGTCAATATTACATATGATTGGTGTATTTTTTAAAGAACTGAATAGACAGAGAAATGTCCCCTGTCCCTGTCCCCTGTCCCTGTCCCTGTCCCTGTCCCTGTCCCCTGTCCCTGTCCCTGTCCCTGTCCCCTGTCCTTGTCCCTGTCCCCTGTCCCTGTCCCTGTCCCTGTCCCCTGTCCTTGTCCCTGTCNGTCCCTGACCCTGTCCCTGTCCCTGTCCCTGTCCTGTCCTGTCCCTGATCCTGTCCCTGTCCCTGTCCCTGTCCCTGTCCCTGTCCCTGTCCCTGTCCTGTCCCTGTCCCTGTCCCTGTCCCTGTCCCTGTCCCTGTCCCTGTCCTTGTCCCCTGTCCCTGAGGAGGAGGAGGGAGATCTCCAGGGGCAGCAGGAGCTGCCAGTGCCTGCAGGAGGATCCCCTCCCGCCAGGGACATCTCCTGGGGACACAGGGACATCTCCTTGGGGCTGAGGGACATCTCCTGGGGACACAGGGACATCTCCTGGGGACACAGGGACATCTCCTTGGGGCTGAGGGACATCTCCTGGGGACACAGGGACATCTCCTTGGGGCTGAGGGACATCTCCTGGGGACACAGGGACATCTCCCAGGGGTTCAGGGACATCTCCTGGGGCTCAGGGACATCTCCTGGGGCTGAGGGACATCTCCTGGGCACTCAGGGACATCTGGGGACACAGGGACATCTCCTGGGGACACAGGGACATCTCCTTGGGGCTCAGGGACATCTCCTGGGGACACAGGGACATCTCCTGGGGACACAGGGACATCTCCCAGGGGTTCAGGGACATCTCCTGAGGGCTCAAGGACATCTCCTTGCGACACAGGGCTGACTCTGGTTTGTTTTGCAGTGTCCTGGACAGCCCAGGGTGACTCTGGTTTGTTTTGCAGTGTCCTGGACAGCCCAGGGTGACTCTGGTTTGTTTTGCAGTGTCCTGGACAGCCCAGGCCGGCTGGATGAGGAGCACCGGCTCATCGCTCGCTACGCCGCACGCCTGGCTGCCGAGGCTGGCAACGCTGTGAGTGACCCATCCCTGCCAGCCCCGGGGCCTGGGGGGCACCAGGGGGGGTGGGGACCCAGAACCTGCCTGGGGTCACCAATCTGTGTGTGTGCAGCCCCATGGGCTCCCTAAAACCTGTCTGGGGTCACCAATCTGTGTGTGCAGCAGCACAGGCTCCCTAAAACCTGCCTGGGGTCACCAATCTGTGTGTGTGCAGCCCCATGGGTTCCCAAACCTGTCTGGGGTCACCAATCTGTGTGTGTGCAGCACAGGCTCCCTAAAACCTGCCTGGGGTCACCAATCTGTGTGTGCAGCCCCATGGGCTCCCTAAAACCTGTCTGGGGTCACCAATCTCTGTGTGTGCAGCCCCATGGGCTCCCTAAAACCTGCCTGGGATCACCAATCTGTGTGTGTGCAGCCCCATGGGCTCCCTAAAACCTGTCTGGGGTCACCAATCTGTGTGTGCAGCAGCACAGGCTCCCTAAAACCTGCCTGGGGTCACCAATCTGTGTGTGTGCAGCCCCATGGGTTCCCAAACCTGCCTGGGGTCACCAATCTGTGTGTGTGCAGCACAGGCTCCCTAAAACCTGTCTGGGGTCACCAATCTGTGTGTGCAGCCCCATGGGCTCCCTAAAACCTGCCTGGGGTCACCAATCTGTGTGTGCAGCCCCATGGGCTCCCTAAAACCTGCCTGGGGTCACCAATCTGTGTGTGCAGCCCCATGGGTTCCCAAACCTGCCTGGGATCCCCCATTTGTGCCCCTGCAGCCCCACAGGCTCCCAGACCACCCTCAATCCCCATTTGTGCCCCTGCAGCCCCACGGGCTCCCAGACCACCCTCAATCCCCATTTGTGCCCCTGCAGCGTGCTGGCAGTCAGCTCAGGGTGGGAATCAGCTCAGCCCTGCTCAGGCTGCAGGAGATAAATGTGAGCACAACAAACCGTGGCAGAGTGCTGGGGGTGGCTTTGTTCCAGAGGGAAAGGTGGCTTTGAGTCTGCAGCTCCTTACAGCAGGAAATAAAGGAAAGCCCACACGTTTCCAGCTGCTAAAAGCCCTGACAGAACTGCAGGAGCTCAGGGAGAGGCTCTGGGACCCCACAGAACATTTGCAGGCGAGCTGGACGGTGGCTCCCTGTCTTTATCCCTAGGGAAGGAGAGCAGGGATCATTCCCCAGTTTCCCTGGGCAGCTCTGTGTGTCAAACCCTGATGAGATGCTGCTGCTGGAACATTTCCAAGTGCCAGTTCCCCGTGCCCAGGGCTGCAGCTCCAGAGCTGCTCTGTGCTCCAGCAGGGCTGAGCCATCGAGGGGACACAGCACCAACTTGGGTTTAGGTGGAAAAGGAGGAAATTTCCATGCAATCCTGTAAAATCCGAGTGCTGAGTCACTGTCACGCTGGAAGGTGCTGGGAGAGCTCTTTCTTAGTCATGGCTTGACTTGTGCAGGTGGGGAACTTGGGGAGCTGCAGGTTCCAGAGGCTGGAATCAGCCCAGCCTGGTGTGGCCAGGGCTGGAGCAGCTCTGGGGCTCCAGGGAGCAGCAGCTGGGCTTTGCTGAGGCTCCCCAAGGCCCTGGGGGCAATTCCTGCTCCTTCCCTGAGCCCCATCCAGGGCAGGGGCTGGAGCAGTGCCGGGGGCTGCTGTGGGGCACACAGGGGAACAAGGGGGGGTTTCTGTTGTGGCCAGAGCTCAGCCATGGGAGTCTGGAGTTCCTGACTGGCTCCACCACCTACCCAGAAGTGCCAGCAGCTGGAACAGGAGGATTTCTCCCGTTCTGGAGGGATCTCAGCTCTGAGGGCTTTGGTTCCTGGCAGCTCCTTGTTATTCCCTGCCAAGGACAGCTCTCCTGCCTGGGCCAGGCCGGGCTCTGGGCCAGGGTGACACCCATGGGGACAGGGGTGTCTGTGGGCTGTGAAATGACTGTTCTCACCACGATAATGGTCAGATGCTGTTCTCCGAGGTTTGGCCAGAGAACTGGGATCTCCCTCCTTGGAGGTGTTCAGAGCTCCACAAGACCAGTTCCTGAGCGTTTTCTGTGCCTTGGCCCTGCTCTGCATGGACTGGAAACGTCCCAGCTGCGATTTTCTGTCAATCTGGGCATTGATGGAAGTGGGGAATGGGAAAAAACATCATAAAGACTTATGGAATATTTGTCCAAGGAGGAGCAGTGTGTGCTGAGAGGGGTTGGTGTGAGCAGAATGATTTCCTGAACGTGTTCTGGCTGCTGGGAGTGCAGAGAATCCCTGAAGCACTGCCCAGCTCCAGCAGCCTGGGGCAAAGCTGTGTCCTCCTGGGTGGGATAAGAGCCTGGAGCTGTTCCTGCAGGGCTCTGCTGGAGGAGATGTCCCCTCCCCGCAGGAGTGACACCCCTGGCACCCGGCTGTGCCCCCTGAAGGAGCTCTGGCTGCTCTGCCCGTGTCCCCTGGAGCCAGAACCTCCCCAGGGAGGAGTGGGAGCTGCTGGGGCAGTGCTGGTTCTGGGGCAGTGCTGGTTCTGCTGGGGCAGTGCTGGTTCTGTTGGGGCAGTGCTGGCTCTGCAGGGGCAGTGCTGGTTCTGGGGCAGTGCTGGCTCTGCTGGGGCAGTGCTGGTTCTGGGGCAGTGCTGGTTCTGTTGGGGCAGTGCTGGTTCTGTTGGGGCAGTGCTGGTTCTGGGGCAGTGCTGGTTCTGGGGCAGTGCTGGTTCTGTTGGGGCAGTGCTGGTTCTGGGGCAGTGCTGGTTCTGCTGGGGCAGTGCTGGTTCTGCTGGGGCAGTGCTGGTTCTGCTGGAGCACGGATACACCCAGCAAACCCCCAGAGAACAATCCAAACTTAGATTAAATCACAGCCTCATCTGTTTGTCTCCCTCTGCTGCTCTGCTCGGCCTGAGCTGAGGAACATTCTCCTGTTGCCATCAGGTGCTGTGTCCTGACACAAGCAGGGCAGAGCTGCAGGATTCCCCCTGGCACACCCACAGAAGGCTTCTGTGTGCTTCAGGACAAGATTTCCAGGAGAAAGGAACCCCTGTCAGCACCAGCTCTCCTTTTCTGCCTCCTGCATCCCTCTGCCACCAGCTCCAGCTCTGCTCCCACAGCCTCAGGCTTTCTCCTCGAAAAGCCCAGCCCCATCCTGAGCCAGATGTTCCTGGTGCTCCCCACAGCTCTGGGGGAGCGAGGCAGCCCCAGGGACCCCCAGGGCTGTCCCGAGCTGTGCAGAAGTGCAGGAGCAGCTGCTGGACGGGGGCTCTGATGATGAAGACAGGTGATGGAGGGGAGGTTTGTGGAGGAGCCACAGCAGCCAGGTGTGACCCCACGCTGCTCTGGGCTGCTCCTCCCTCAGCACCGGGCACTGCTCACATCCCTTCAGCATCTCCCCAGTGCTGCCCACACCTAAAGAAGGGCTGGGACATTCCCTCCCTTCGGGTTCTGGGCGTGATTTGATAGAACACTTTAAAACAAAGACTGAGTAATGCAGGTCTCCCGTTAGATCCACCTGCACTCTGCTCCTTGGCTCCCTCCTCTCCTGCAGGAGGTCTCTGAGCCCTTGCTGTCCCTTGTTTCCTCTGCCTGCAGCCCCCAGGAGCTGTGGCACAGGTGACAGGGACACAGCTCCTCCTGGCACCTGGGATGTGCTGCCAGGACCCCCAGGCTTGGCCAGAGCCCCCCAGAGCAGGGCTGGGAGGGGCAGAGTGGCTCAGACTCATCCCTGGATGCTCTGTGGGAGCTCTGCTCCTGCTCTGGGGATCCTGGAATCCCCAGTCTGTGATCCTTGGTGTCGTTCCGATTGGGAACGGCTTTAAAGAACGACACTGACTCTCAAGGGAGTCACAACACGAGAATTCCTTAGTTTATTGCTTCAGGCTTGTCTTATAGACAGATACGTGGGAAGGTACAGAAAGGAAACTCTTATTGGTTAACAAAGTGCTACATCACCATCATTGGTCAGGGGGGCCCATCACCCCCCTGGCCTTCTCCTGCAAGAGAAAACAAAACTGCAAAACAACACCTGCAAGGCTGTTTAGTGTCCCTGAGAATTGTTTTAATTCCTTCTCATGAATTTCTCAGGCTAGCTCTCAGTCAGGCTTGAGAGCTATGTGGCCTGTAATAACTACAGGCACTCTGGTTCAGATTTAGCATCTATACCTTGGTGTGCAGAGGAGCAAGGCTCACCCTTGAAGAGCTTCAGTGAGGGGCAGAAGGGGCAGGAGCCAGTGTGGGGGTGTTTGGTGAACCCCAGAGCCTCAACAACCCCCCCTGCACACCTCTCCTTGCTTTGCTCAATGCACATTCATGAAGGTCATACATATTCAAACATTCCTTGGAGCTCTTTTACTCCTTCTGGGAATCCTGGAGCTTGCTTTGACCCCTGACTGCTCATGCAGGAGTGCAGATTTGATTTTGGGGAGCTGTGTGTGCCATTTCCCCACAACCACCAGGGAATTACCAGGGAATGCAGTCCTTTGTGCCCCTTTTCTCTGCACGTCACCTGTGTCCCTCAATATTGTCACCCAGTCATCCAGACAGCTTCAGCTCTTTCCACAAACTGATTGAGTTCTTCTCATAATTGTCAGAATTCTCAGAATTTCTGTTTGTAGTCACAAACACAAAAACATCCTGCAAAAGTTACCATTATTAACTCTATTTCAATATTTTGTGTAAGCCTGAACTCTGATATACTGACCACTCTCTGTCAAGAGCACTTAAACGTGATTACAAATTGTACAAATTCAAAGTTGTGACGAATAATCATTTGCAAAGGTTAATACATCATAGTGAAGGCCAGTTCATGGAATTATTGATAACAATTGGAGGTTCAGGTGTGGATCACCCAGGCCCTTCCTGGGGAATCCACTGCAGTGCTGGCAGCTCCCACTGCTCCTGTGGGGTGTTCAGGACACCTTAAATTTAAGATTAAATTTAGATTTAAATCCATTCTATGATTTTCCTGCTGGGAGAGAGCTGGGCCTTGCAGAGGTTGGGTTGTTTGGGGTTTTTAGTGATTGTGGCTGGTGCTCCCAGCTGGAGCTGGAGGAGATGCTGGGGCAGGGATGGAGCAGGGGGTGAATCCCTGGAGCTGCAGGGCAGGCAGGGAGCTGAACCCACAGGGAATCCCAGCCTGGCACGAGGGTCCTGGCACGGGAATCCCAGCCTGGCACGAGGGTCCTGGCACGGGAATGCTGCCAGGGGAGGGAACAGACACACAACTCCAGGATGGGATGGGATGGGACAGCAGGGACAGGACAGGACAGGATGGGACAGCAGGGACAGGACAGAATGGGACAGCAGGGACAGGACAGGATGGGACAGCAGGGACAGGACAGGATGGGACAGGACAGAATGGGACAGGACAGGACAGGAGCTCCCCTCAGGACAGGACAGGACGGGACAGGGACAGGACAGACAGGGACAGGAGGTCCCCTCAGGACAGGACAGGACAGAATGGGACAGGACAGGACAGGAAGGGACAGGGACAGGACAGACAGGGACAGGAGGTCCCCTCAGGACAGGACAGGACAGGACAGGAAGGGACAGGGACAGG